ATGGGCTCGCTCCTCCCTAACTTATGTTAAGGAACTTCATTTAAAACTGAGAGACTTTTTTGACAAAAACCCTACAGCAATGCAAAGGGTACATAGCCTACTGCTTTTAAAACAAAGAGCACTTTCTGCCCTCCAATGTCTAGTGTGAGATGTTGATAATCTTCATCTAGGAAAAGTGAAACCACATTTTATTGGCTAAGAGCTACAACAACAGAACAACTAATACTGGTTGTTGTTCTTAATTAATGTGCCTTTCTTGTTGTTATCTTATCATAAACATCACCTCCCCCATGATATGCCCCCTGTGTTATTAATCAGGTGAAAAATTATATTTTCCCCCTCCACTGTTGTGTTTGACCGCTAACCAATGACAGGAGACTGGAAGCACAGATTAAACGGGTCACAAATCAGCTAAAGAGTTGTGAGGGCTGGAGGAAAAGTAATTGGATGGACAGGAGTGTGGCACTCATCAAAGCCATAAGGTTAAAGTGGTTAGCCAAGATTGTGTGAAGAAAGGGAAAGTCTGAACAAATGCTGCCAAAAAGGGTAATAGTTTCCTTATAATGACAAAATGATGTAGAAGGCCACAGACAAAAGGTTGATTTACCTTTTGTTGCATGGCAAAATTTGTACTCACAGAGAGATTTCATTCACACATCATTGACTACAATTTGGAATTCTGTCCATTAATGTTGTTAAAAGGTTTAGACAATGAAAAATCTAACATTCCCCATCCTTCATTGTTCTGACTAACAGGGGTAGTCCTGCCTCCAGACTCTCGCTATTGGTTGAGCCAGGCAAAGCATTGCTTTAAAAATGCCTGGCCACAGTGTTTACTCAGAACCACAGTGTATTACTGATGGAATTTTTTTTTATTTCATCAGTGATACAGAAAACAAGATGGAAAATAACTATACATCTGTCCGTTTCCCAAACTGCTAATCCTATGTAAGTGGTCTTTGTAAATTACTCACTAAAGCATAAATAATTCAAAATACTGTTTTACAGTAGAGTACTTAATGTAATGTTGTTATTTCAGGAGCTTGTTTTCAAAACAAGTAGTTTTCACAATGTTTTTGTTAAACGTTGATACTTGTCTACAATAAATTATAAAATGTTTGGTTTCATTTGATACTTTCTCATCAGCTAAAATTAGATGCCATTTAAATCAGAGTAGAACTGACTAAGGTTAATGAATATGGCATGACAAAATATTGATCTTTTAAACTATGATAATAACTATGAACAGTATACATATGACTTGTAGTACTCTCTGCATTATAAGCTAACATTGCAGAAAATATTTTAATTTGAAAAAAAAAAATACTTAATGCTAAAAACAATCACTTTTACCTAGTCAAAAATGTATGGTATGAGCATTGATCACGACACCCTCAGATCCCACATTCAAATGGAACACAAATGAAAGAGAAGTATGAAAAAGGAAAATTTTAAATTAGAACAGACGAGAACAGATAAGACCTTGGTAGAATAATCTTTTCAGCATTTAATAGCATCAGTGTCATTAAATAGCATCAAGTTTTACATCCTCTCTACAAGCAACACTAGATTAGAGAAAGCAAATCTGATTGCATTCTTTCCATCGTCCCAGAAGACCTACACCTCCCAGCATGGCCGATACACTCTTCCCACCATGCACCTCATGGTGTCCCTTTTGATGATGGTGATGCTCGGGCTCAGGTCTGTTCCGACATCTCTGCGCTCTGTGCTGACAAGGCTCTCGGGGAGACTGAGATGAGGGAGTCCTCTGTTCAGAGATGTTAGGGTCCTCAGCAGATTGGAGTCGGCCACCATGATGATTCTGGAGTTGCCTGATGCGGATCTCAGAGAGTTCTCCTCCAAGCTCTCGCTCAAGCCTTGCAGATCTGGCTCTGTGTCTTCAGCTTTGGTCATGGGGATGGCAGCAGTTCTGAAGTAGCACTCAGACAAAAGTGCAACAGTGATGAGGATGGTACCAACGGAAAGCTTCATTCTTGATCCCGAGTGTTTCTTCAGTGGTTCAGCTGCTGTCTCCTGTGATGTCTTGCAAGCTGGTCCATTTTTATAGGCCTACCAGTCATTGTCTGCAAATGTGCCACGTTATCTTTAGATTCACCATTGTCTTGGTTTCTTATGAGTATGTGGCTATTAACAAAAACACAAAATCTCATTGAGAACCTGATGACAGAGACACTGACAGAGCTCAAGTGTTTTGTTTGGTGGAAAGTTGATTAAGATTTCCTGCAACGTGGCTTGTGTTCAGCACGCAGACGGCAGGGTTCCACTGAGTGGGCATCGTAAGAGGGGATGTAATTCCAGAATCCTCACACTTTGAAACAATATGAGAGGATTACAGACCTGTTGAAGAGTCCAAGTTAATAATAACAGTTTTCTCATTAGAATCACATGACAAAGTCATCAAAAGAGGCTCCAGCCCTAGTAGATCAAAATAAAGATCAACGCCCAGCAGGAGGTTGGATTATTTAATCTGGAAAAGTGCTGCTGATTCATGACAATGTTGCAGGTGTTTCAATTTGTATCAAGCATCATGTCAGTGCAGCCTGAATGGGGCTCCTGCTGTAAATGCTGCATGATACAGAGAACATCTATACATTCATTGTACTCTGAATAAACTCACTGAATGAACCACACTGGCTATTCATTGAAAACATTTATCATGGCAAAGCAGGGGATTTGTAACACTTTGGTTGTTGTATTCTAGTATTCTAGTACATACAATAACTAAAGTTTTTACAACCTATAAACAACAGGACCGTGGGGTGGAAATATTTTTCTTTTAAACATTTTCATTCTTAGGAGTAAGATTAATGTTTACCTGTTTACATCACAACCCAAAATATACTTAATAAAATAAATTAAATAAAATTCCCAAATCAAAACCAATATCCAATATCCACTCTTTCTTAATCTGTCAGAATTTAATCTTCCATGTCTAATGTACCCAGTCTTTCCTTCTTCTATCTTCTGATTTTTGGTCTACCTCCAAAAAACACAAATTATTTTAAAGACTTCTATATTTAAATCCCTCATTTAAAAAACACAGTAGTCTCAGAATTGTTCTCAGTAGGATAAACGCTTTTTTGTCAGTTGAATTCAACTTTGGTTTTTAAGACAGAAGACCTTCTTCTGGCCCTTTGACTGGCTTAGTCATTTTCTATAATCAAAGGCCATGTCACATTGTACTGTGAAAGCAGAAATGTCAAAAATAATTGGAAGCAAGGCCTCTAATAGGACATCTAACAGAACAAGAGAATCTAAAGTAAGAGATTATTCAACTGTGCAAAGTCTTGGGCTCGTCTCATTGAGAAGATGAAAGACTACAAAATAATAAATATACATTTTTAAGGCAAATCTTTCATATCAAGGACTACAGAAACAAACAAGTGATATTACAGAACATCCTACAACACCAGAGAACATATAAATGTATAATTTAGTGCCCAATTAATTATTCTTCCATTGCCCACCCCAGTAATTAAATGTATATATGATGATTCATATCTTCCCAATATACATCGCCCTCCCCAATAATAAAATGTACGAAATATATGATGATTCATATCTACTGCATAAACATTAAAGGTCAATTTAAAGTGAACCACTGTATAGTTCCTGCATAATTTCCATGTAGTGTGTCCACAGTGTATCGTTTGATTATCTACCAAACAATCATTTCCACTGAGGTGAGCAAAGAGAGCAACTGTGAAACAATAATGAGGCTTGGAACCATGGGAATAGTGTAATCACAGCTGGGATAAGAAAGGCTGGTTTCAAACAAAAGACCTAAAATGGGAAAGCATTCTACACTGTTTTAGTAATATGCAAATAAGATCATCTGGTGCGCATTGGGAACAAGGTGGGTGGATTTTACTACTAGATGGTCTGTGGGCTCTAAATGTCCTTTCCTCTTGTTTTGGGGGATTTTGAACAAGGCTGGACTCCTTGCCACCACATTTCCTCTCCCACAGGGTGTTTCTGTACATGACAATATTTGACGAAATGGACTTTCTCACTCAAAATAAATAGAGAAAAAATCACAGTAGAGTTGATTGATTGTGCAGATATACTGTGAGGAGATATTACTTACTGGTTGTTCAAGGAAACACATTATTCTCTTGAAAAAAACTAGTAAAAAGACACTTTGTCTTTCTACATCTGCATTTGCATACTCATGGACTATTGTATGCAATTTTGTAGTATAAATTGTAGTATACAACAAGAAAAGGTTAACTTTAAACACCTGGATGATGCACTTATTTAACTGAAAAAAAGGTTAAATAAACATGCAATACTGAACATTTTGAGTAGCTTTAATTGCGGAAGGAGAGGTGCTCTCAGACACTATGGTACTATGTTAGGTACTATGTTACGTACGTGGGGAAGCCGTGGCCTAATGGTTAGAGAGTCGGACTCGAAACCCAAAGGTTGGGATTGTAGGTGGGGGGAGTGAATGTACAGCGCTCTCTCCCACCTTCAATACCACGACTGAGGTGCCCTTGAGCAAGGCACCAAACCCCCAACTGCTCCCCGGGCGCCGCAGTAAAAATGGCTGCCCACTGTTTCAGGTGTGTGTTCACGGCGTGTGTGTGTTCACTGCTGTGTGTGTGCACTTTGGATGGGTTAAATACAGAGCACTAATTCCAAGTATGGGTCACCATGTCACGTTACGTCACTGTCACTATAATGCATAGTTTAATTGCATGGTATATAATGTGTCATTTGGGACTCTACTCTTTTTGCTACATACTGTATGTGCAGGATACTTTAAGGGTAATTTACACCAAGAACGATAATAATAATGAAAACTATAATGATATATATTCACATCCACACCAACACAATAACAATCTATTTGTTTTAAGCAAGTGCTGCAGTTTATATCATCTGCGCTTTAAAATCGTGTGCTCTTTAAATGGATTCCGACTGGCTCTAACACCTGTTCCAAACCTGTGTGAGTTTATTTCAACATTTATTCTGTTGAACAAAAAAGACAATATTTTGAAGAATGTTGGTAACCAAACAATTGAGGTTAGCCATTGACTAGTTACCACTTATGATCAAAATATTTTGTTGTGCACCATTTTCAATCAAGCTGTAGTAAGACCATAGAAACCAATCCAAACCCAAGCAACCACATAGCTGTACCCTGTGTAGTGATTGGTACTCACGTCACCGATGGCATTGTGATTTTTGGATCACACATCACTTAATATGTGGTTATATATCAGATGACCATTTTCACAACACCAGTTTTTAACTTGGCAAAATGAGAACACTCCCAACCGGAGCTGTTTGATAGTGATTAAGAGATTAAGTTGCATGTTGCTATGGCAGAATTATGTTATCATATGGAAAGATAAATTGTTGCTTCTCTGAAATTAATAAGCTGAATAACCTTATTATGCATCAAACAAAGAATTTTTTTTATTTGTTACCTGACATCAGCTATAAAACATCTAATGTAAATTAGAAAATCATATACTGATAATATACAACAATGCCAAAGTGATATTTATGTCCCCCATGATCGAGTGAGCAGTCCAATGGCGGTGACTTCTTCCACTGATTGTGTATGGGTAACAATGCAGTGAGGAAAGGAGCAGAAATCCTTTTCAACAGTCTTGAATTTAAAGCGCTGTGGGATGCTGATCTCCTGGAGCACCAAAGAGTCCTAAAATCGGGAACATGCAAATGATTAACTCTGATCACGGCCGGGTTTTCTCAGACCAACTTGGGTATCAAGCGCTATGTTAAAAATACCTGGCTGGGACCCAAAGTAATAGATTGGGACCTGACCTTGACATGGGTGACTTTTTAAAATATGAATCCAAACCCATACCCTCGGCTTCCCGGTTCCTCGTGTTCAGTCTGGACCTGTGAAGACCTCTTGTCTCTGTTACTGTCTCTCACCACACAGGCTGGAGACTCAGAGCGTGGTGTGTCTGTTACTGTCACCTACCACACAAACTGGAGACTCAGAACAAGTTGTGTCTGTTAAAATGGTACATGTATCCTTTTCTGATGAGAAGGAGATTACATGTTGGCGCTTTTCCATTTCAGTTCTGTGATTGACTGCTGGCATCAGAGTGTGGAACTAATTTGCATAGTCCAAAACACACAGTTAGAAAAGTGTCCTGAAAGTTTGGCATTACTCACTTACTAAACCACTACCAGAATACCTTTGGTGGTGTTCTGAATGCATAAAGTCCGAACATGATGTAAAAAGATCAAACTGGTATGAATGTATTTATTTGTCAATAACAGCCATTTTGTGTAAGATTTTACACTACACATAGCTGCCAACGAGAATGCCTATTTCTCTGAATAAGTATGAAATGTGTTGTAGTTTGCATCAGTTTCAAAGCATAGTTAGTATAGATTTTAATGGATCACTGTGGCCTCACTTTGTTTCATCCACTGCTGCTGCATCCTGAGGTCCTAAGGAATTTTTATGGCGGTCACAGGCCAAAACCTAAGGAATTTTTCTCTTGATGGGTGAAAGGCAGAAATGGCATGTGAACCAATGAGAAATCCTGTCCTGCGTGATAACAGAGGTCTTCTTGCCCTCTAAAAGGTGTCTGGCCATTGTTCTAGCATCCTTATTTGATGGCATTTTGGACATTTGTTTGTGTTAGTCCACCACAGTCCAATCAAAATGTAGCAACCCTTTCTCCACTGCTGCAGTCAGAGAAGGGTTTGGAATGGGCTGTTCACCTGGCAACAACCCACAACACCTTAACACCAGGTTTTGCACAGGCAAAACTATTACTCACATTTTCTTCAGGATATTTAAAAAACGATTTATTGAACATGTTTGTAACATTTATAACATCTTTATTGAACATTTTTAATCATGAAACATTTACTTTCAGAATGATTAATCTTATTCTTATGTTAATTATTTATGCTATTAAGAAGCATTATTTTAAGAGCTCTGTGTGTATATTTTGTGCTTAGATCTGATGTTTGGGCAGTTTTGTACATCCATCATTTTAAATTACT